CAAATCATAGTATTTTGACAAATGAGGCGCTCACTTCATGGTGATTTTAGCCAACCTCTCTAGATATATCTATCACTAAGTTTATGCATTTAAGAATTACAACTGATTTAGAAAGCCAAATGCTCAAGGTGAAGTAGTTCCAAAAATCATACATTACACAAACAAACATTGCAAATTAAGTCTTTCAAATCTAATACGATAGCAATTATAAGAATATTGGGTTGAGAAAGTCGTCAATTTATTTTTTCCTTGTATGTTGTTTTGTTTGGAGATTGTGCCATATTAAATAACTTCTACTTCTCACGACCTTACGCTGTACTATCCATAGAACGTTTTTAAAATAGCTGAACAGTTTCGGTCAATGTAAGCAAAAGGGAGGGGTCTAATCCCTTCATATTGTTGCTAATTGCTTAACCAGGCAAACTAAAGGACATCCATGAACATATGGGTCGAGATTAGMGAACATCTGACACTTCCATCAGGATCGTAATAGTCAAAACCAGTAATGGAAGTCTTCATGCATGTAGCGTCTTTGATAACGGCACGTTGTTGAAGGCTACTCAAAGATGCCGGTCCAATGTACCGCCTATTTAATTGTTTAAATATGGGTACGCAGCCAACGCCCACTACCGGGACACAGTGACCGACCTTTMGTTCATCTACGCAACAATTTGATGGTATTTGGTGACATTTGATGTATCGGAGGAAATATTTTGTGCCGCTTTTTCTCGTAGACGCATGAACGGATAATTGCGGTCTGTGGAAACAATCAATCAGACATGGAACAAACAATTCACAATTCTATGTTGTTATTATTGTATATGTCAGTATTTTTTGCACATGTGAAATAACCATACAAAACATGCAAACAAAAAAACAACAACAACAACAGCAAGTTACGACCGTGTGTGTTTGCGTACAGGAATCTATGCGCCTGTCATAACAAACAAATTGAGAGAAAAKTTTTGACTCAAATACTGGTATTTTGATGAGCAGACAAAAAGCAAAGAAAAAAGAAACAATAATTGTACAAATTGATGCAAAATTGGAAAATATGAACATTTTGTCTGCACCGTTACGTGAGACTGGGCAAGTTGGACTGGGGATTAATTCATACTGCTGACCATACAGATCACGGTCACCGATTTCTATGACAACCAACCAAAACCCAAACATGGCGGACGAMGAGGCAGCATATTATCTGGAACGTATCCTTGTTCAAAACACGGCTTTTTGGCCAACTTGTTATACGTTTATGAGATAAATGCCTAGCTTTATGTATTATCTTTCAATGTGATCAGAAAATTGAGTCTGGAAAGTTCATGATAAGTAAAAAATTTCGCGTTTATGCTTGAAGGTTATGGACTTAAGGTACTCCAAGAATTTGTTTCACTTCGATAGTAAAGCTTAAACCATTTTTATGGCCTATTAGTT